TGTTTGCTCAGGGGCGTGGGGCTGCTTCTGTCTGCCCACTTGGCCCGCACTGCTCCATAGGTGGGTGCTACGTTTGCATCCCGCCTCTGCATCCCGTCTCTCCACTGCCCCTTCTGCAGTATTTTGTTTTGTTTTTTGAGGCAGTGTCTTGCTAGGTAGTTCAGACTGACCGTGATCAGTAGCCCAGCCTTGAACTTGCAGCAGTTCTGTTGCCTTAGCCTCCCAAGTGCTGGAATTACAGGTGTGCTCCACCATTCCCAGCTTACCTCTTGCCCAGTTTGTAGCCCAGCCTCCGGGAAATTGTCCTTTCATCCGCTTTCCTTGCAGTCTTCCTGAGTCCACCTCAAGTGGGGCTCTGCAGTTCCTTTTTCTCACCTCTGGACACCAGGGCTCTGGCTGCCTGTCTGCTACTTTGCGTATCCACACCTGTTGAGTTACATGTCTACATGGACTGGCTCTGTGTCCAGGTAGAACCTTGCTGTGGGAGGCCCAGTACCCTCTTCACGGTGTGGGGGTGAAATTCATCAAAATGGCACATGCCTGTAATCTTGGGAGGCTGAGGAAGGAGGATGGCCGCAAGTGGAGGCCAGCCTGGAGAACATAGCAAGACCCTGTCTCAAAAAAATTTCATCACAATGCACCTCCTTGTGTGCATAATTCCAAAGCAGTGGATGTAATACTGGAACAGTAAAATAAAAGAAAAGTAGCAGGATGCTGTTTTATAAATGCTCAGATTCGGGGCTGGGGATTTAGCTCAGCGGCACAGCGCCTGCCTGGCAAGCGCAAGGTTGTGAGTTTGATTCCCGGTACCAGAAAAAAAACCAAAAAATAAAATAAATAAAATGAAACAAATGCTCAGATTCAACAGCAGGAGAAGGCAGGAGGGGGCCGGCAGCCCATCCCGCGCGTGGAGCCAGGGTCTGACAGCTGCGGATGCGGACTGTTTGGAGGTGGCACGGGACTGACTCAGACGGGGGCCCTTGCCATCAGCAATGGAACCCTGTGAGACGGAGGATAACTCTTGAAGTTCCTGTTGGACAGAGTAATTTTCCCTCAGTGCACGTGGAAGTTGCATTTCTCGAAATTCAGCGTGTAGGGAGCCCGTACAAAGAGCACTTTAGTTTGTACATAGGACAGGTTCTGGGCTCTGGTTACTGTAACCAGATTTCGCACTCGTAGCCCCGAGGAGACTGGCAGAAGGCTTCAGAACGGGTGGTTCCGGCTGTGGCTCTGCAGTGCCCCCGCCCTGTGCGCAGCCTCCTCACTGTGACAGGCATAGAAGCCCTTGCTGCACAGTGCAGGATCCCCTGCCTTAGCCATGTCCTCCACCCCAGCACTGCCCACCCTCACGCCACTCAGCACACGTCTGCGGGGTGACTCTAGAAAGTAGAAAACCCATCTTGTAGCCCGGCCTGTGAGCCACCACTCAGGAAGCTGACGCAGGACCACAGGTTCAAAGCCAGCCTGGGTGTGTGTGCGTGTGCGTGTGCGTGTGTGTGTGTGTGTTTTTGTTGTTTTTTTTTTTTGTCTTTTTGAGACAGGGTCTCGCTATGCAGTTCAGGCTGGCCTTGAGCTCACTTTGTAGCCCAGGCTGGTCTTGATACTCGCGACGATCCTTCTGCCTCAGCCTCCCAAGTGCTGGGATTATAGGCATGTGCCACCAGGTCCGGCCAGCCTAGGGTATATAAGACCTTTAAAAAAAAAGGCTGAGGCAGGAGCATCACTTAATCCTTAGAGTTGATCAGCCTGGGCAACAGAGCAATATGCCATCTCCAAAAACAAACAGTAAAACAAAACAAAAATAAATTCATCCTACGAATGGATTATTTTTAACAGTAAATAAAATTTATGTTAGCTCTTAGTATTTTTAGTATACACATGGCACTGATAGAGGACCATATCAACATTGAGGAGTTACGAAATTTGGGGATGTGTTTCACGCTTTCACTGGAGGCCAGAGGAATGAGGACCCCTTTCCTCCAATGAGGTGCTCAGTGTCTTCAGCCAGCCTGAGACTGTACCCAGGGTGGCTGGGCCTGTGGGGCTGTGCCCGTTCTTGTGGAGCGGGAGTGCGTAGCTATGGGTGTGGGCTGGTTGGTCGTGATGGTGTGCTTGGTATAGGGCTGTGCAGGAGGGCGGAATCATAGCGAGGCCCTGATGGTGGGTGATACGACCAGCACTGACCCTAGGCATTCTTGGGAAAGTCAGGTGCCTGCCTGTCCTCCAGAGCACCCTCACCACAACAGAGTATGGCTGGTGTGGGCCCAGGCACTTCCGTAGCTCTGCCTCTCCCGAGTACTTTTTGCTGTGGCTGCAGCAACTTACAGCTATGCAACTTCTCCAGCCCGGGCTGGAGATGGAACTCAGGGCCTTGCACAGGCTGGTGTTTTATCTCTGAGCTGTGTCCCTGGCCTCTGAAGTTACGATGGTGACCATAACAAGGGGAATAATTTTTGTAGGACAGGATTGGTGGGAGCCGAGCGGGGTGGCGCACGCCTGTAACCCCAGCACTTGGGAGGCTGAGGCAGGAGGATCGGTGTGAGTTGGAGACCATCCTGGGCTACACAGTGAGCTCAAGGCCAGCCTGAACTGCATAGCAAGACCCTGTCACAAAACGACAAAAAAAAAAAAAAAAAAACAAAAACCCAAAAACATAAAAAACCAGAACAGAATTGGTGGATCCGGTAAGCTCAAACCAGGGCCCTCAGGTGCCTGCCTGTCCTCCAGAGCACCCTCACTACAAGAGTATGGCTGGTGTGGGCCCAGGCACTTCCGTAGCTCTGCCTCTCCGGGTGGTGGCCAGTGGGGGACAGCCCGGGTCACCGTGTGCCGTCTGTCTTGCAGTGTTTGTGGGCTACCTGTGCATCGTGCTGCTCATGTTACTGCTGCTCATCTTCTGGATTGCCCCGGCCCACGGGCCCACCAACATCATGGTCTACATCAGCATCTGCTCCTTGCTGGGGAGTTTCACCGTGCCTTCCACGAAGGGCATAGGGCTGGCGGCCCAAGACATCCTGCACAACAACCCGTCCAGCCAGAGAGCCCTGTGCCTGTGCCTGGTGCTCCTGGCCGTGCTGGGCTGCAGCATCATTGTGCAGTTCAGGTACATCAACAAGGCCCTAGAGTGCTTCGACTCCTCTGTGTTTGGGGCCATCTACTACGTGGTGTTCACCACGCTGGTCCTGCTCGCGTCAGCCATCCTCTTCCGGGAGTGGAGCAATGTGGGCCTGGTGGATTTCCTGGGCATGGCCTGTGGATTCACGACTGTCTCCGTGGGAATTGTCCTTATACAAGTGTTCAAAGAGTTCAACTTCAACCTTGGGGAGATGAACAAGTCCAACATGAAAACAGACTAGGATGCGGCCAGGGGTTGGGGGCTGGAGGAGCAGGCTTTGGAGGTGGTTTCTGGTCTCGATTGGATGTGAAGTAGCAGAGACCCTCAATCCCTGGGGTGAGAGTTACCTGCACACCCACGGGTGGCCTAGTGGACATGAGGACCCGGGCGTGACACTGGACTGGGCCCAGCCCTAAGCAGCCCAAACCTCCCAGGGGTTGCCTGGGCACCGTCGCTCCCTGATGAGATGAATGTCACTTTCATTTCCATTAACCTGGAAGCTTTTGTGACTACTCTTTCCTTTTAAAATATTTTAACATGACCTAATCAGACAAGAAAGGTGGGCCTTGCTGGCTAGTCTTTGCAGGAGAGCAATGATCTTAGGTTACTTTGGAAACAGGAGACATGGTCTTGAAATCTGGCTCTGTGTAGTAAGCGTGCCTGTAGTTGGGTTAGTTTGCGTTAAGCATGTGTCATATTCAGGAACCTCATTCAGATAAGAGGGTTAACCAAACCTTCCTAACCCTCTAACAAATTGGCTGTCTTCTGCACTCACCCCAAGACATCTTCATAGCAAGTAGAGAGGAGTTAGCGAACGTAATACAGTACTCCATTGGCAGGGTGACTTCTCAATAGCTCAGCTCAATTTCAGTGCCTTTATCACTTGAATTACTCACTTAATTTGACAAGTACTATGTGTCTGTTCTCTTAGACTAGAATAATGGCACCTCCTTGGTTATACATTTATATTTCAGTGTTCGGATTACAAATAGGAAAATCAGTTAGAAATAATAGCATAGTCATTGGAAGATAATCAGACCTAACATACACCAAAGGCAATGGACCTGTGCAGCATGGAGTTATTGTCTAATTAAAGACAACTAATTAAGTAGCATGAGGTATTTTATTTTCATTCAAACTGTGTAACTGGGATCCAGCATCAAATATATTTACATTGTTTTCTCTGCAAGCATTTGTGACTAGTTGAAAGAAATAAACTATTTAACTTGAAAATAAGTTATTACATGAGGGAATAACTTCAGTACCACATATATTGAGTGTTCTTTAATACAGGAACAAATTAAAGGACACAGATAAGCTTAAGGCAGCGTCTACAAATTACAACACACATAGTTCTCAAAGGGATGTACATCAACAAGGGAAATAACTAACTCAGCCATCGCATCCTTTGAGATGTCATTCGAGAGTTCCTCACCCAGTTGCTCATAAACTTCTTGAGCACACAAAGACAGGACAGAACAAAATGAAAGACTACCTAGACGTAAAAGAGCCAATAACTGTGGCAAGTTTTGAATCCAAAAGGTCATTCTTCTGTCTAAGGTAACCTTCCATGCGTGTTAAACTGGAGTGATACAGATACACACAGCAGTGTCGTGTACTTCACACGCAGTGTTCCGTCTAGGTGGGGAAGTTGCCACATCCAGGACGGGGTTGAGTAGAGGAGGCGGAACAGGAACTCTAGTAGTACCCGATGAAAGTTACTCACCAAGGGAAAAAATGTGCTGTGCTAGGCAAAAACAGCATTTCTAAAATAAAGACCCAAGGAATAGTACCCTAAAGTGTTGAACAAAGAGGCTAAACAGAATGAGGCTAGTTTAACATAAAGCCAAAAAATACCTGTATGAAGTAAAAGTACATATGATCATCTTGGTTTGTTAGTGATTTTTGAAAAGCAGCAACAAAATTATTTTAAAAAGTCATATTGCTGAGAAAGTGCTCAGAAAGGTTATTTCTGTTTTTATCAGCTCTTGAAAGATTTTTTTAAATTACCAGCATTCTTTTTTTTTTTTTTTTTTTATACCAGCATTCTTAGAAATGCAGGTCTTGACTTACTGAACTCTATTAAAGTGAAAGCGTTATGGAGCAGGATCAGTACAGTTTTAGGCATGAAAATACTTCCTTAGGTGAGGAGCCTGAGAAACAGTATGTGGCTGTACAAGTATAAGAGGAAAATTCCTAATGTAGAAATGACGTTTATCTTGCTGTAACCTGTACGCAAAGCGAGTTTGAGTGCATCTGTCAGTGTACCTTATTACAGTCACACCCACAGTTACACCAGGGCTATTCAGAGGTCATAGTTTCTGGATGGTCTTCCCGATGATTTCTTTTAGGAGTACAGCAGAATTTCACAGTATTAGCATGTCTTCTCCCCTGGAAGGTGCCTGGCCCTGGAGCAGTCGTGTCTCTCAGGTTTCTCTCTGTTTGGATAGGTGGAGCAGGGTGCACAGCTTTCGTTCCAGTGGGACGAAGTTCACGTTGTTTTCAAGTGTGTGACAGTACTCGCTAAGTAACCAACGTGGCCAGTGTCCAGTGGTCTGATTCTCAAGTTTAACACAGAGCATATATATTCAGGGTTAATACGGTTTTTTTGTCTTTTTTTTGAGACAGGGTTTCACTATGCAGTTCAGGCTGGCCTTGAACTTGTTTATATAGCCCAGACTGGCCTCAAACTCACCTCCTGCTTCAGCCTCCCTCCCGAGTGCTGGGATGACAGGCGTGTGCTATAACGCCTGATGCAAAATTACTCTTGATAAATACTTAAGGAGGCCATTTTTCTCCTCTCTTTTTAAGCATGGTCTTGTTTTCTTATCTAACTCCTTGCATTTGGAAAGATTGTTTCCCATTCTGCTTATTGATCAAATGTAGGACCAGTTAAGGATTCTAATCCTAACCCAGCCCCAGGATAGCATCTGGGGAGCTCTGCAAAGGAGGCAGTGTTGCCCAGGCTGGGGCCCCTGGAGAGCAGTGTGGTTTTCTGGGGGCCTTGCACATTACTCAGCTATTGTTACAGTATTTTCCTATTTGGATGTTAATTTAATGTGCTTCACTGTTCTCTGCTCAGCAATAAGAAATATCCTTTCAAGACGACTCCCTAAGCCAGTTTGGATAAACTGGCTGAAGGTTTTATTTCCAGCAGTTAGTTAGTCCTAGCACTAAGATGTTGGTCTTTGTTGTTCGGTGGGTTTCATTCTGTTTTCTGATAGAGGAGAACACTGTCCAAATACGCGGTCACTGTTCCTCCTTTTCTCTGGACAACTCAGCTCCTGCTAAACATTTGCTCAGCTCTTAGAAGTTAGTCTGGAAACTTGGGCAAAGTGTTCAGACGCAGTGTCTCCGGGTATGAAGAACGCTCAAACCGTGACACAGGTTTGTCGAGCGCTGGCTGCTGCCCAGCCATGGGACTGTTACTGTGGTTCTGGGGCTGAAGCCAGGCCTGGTGCATGCTGGGCAGGCATTCCGCCACTGAGCTGTACCCCTTGCTCTAAAGCAAGATTTCCTCTGGCTTTGTCTGTTTGTTTTGTTTTGAGGTGCTGGAATTCAAATGCAGGGCCTCAGCCGCGCTAAGCAAGTGAGCTTCTACCACTGAGCTACGTCCCCAGCCCCTGCTGCTGCTGCTTGTCAGGAGACGATAGCTCTCTTTCCTTCTAGAACAGAGAGGATACGCTACTGGCCTGCAGAGCCCATAGCTCTTCTCTGATGCCCACAGAGCCTGTTCCAGCTTCCAGTGACCCAGTAGGACACGAGAAAGAGAAGAGCACTTTGACTGATGGATTAGCTTCTTGGACCGAGGAGCTACCTTCAGTGCATCTGACACCAAGGAGGTTGCACACCTGTCAAGCAGGGTTGGATGGAATCTTGGTGTTCTGCCTTCTCAGGGACCCAAAACGTATCAGTTCACTGTTGACCTTACTTCCAAGAATATGTCCATGTTTGTGTTGCATGTTTTACTCATAATCATACCTAGATTTTGTTAACTTGTGCTGGTAAGAGAAAAGACCAGCTGGCACCCCAGTCATATCGCAAGGCAGTTTATCACATAAGATACCTCAATTTTTTGTGTTCGTTTCCACCTCACAGTTGTTACTGGTGGTGAATTTGAAGGGTCTGTCCTTTAACTCATAGGTGACTTCACATGGGGCCAGGTTCTTGTACCTCCATTGTATACTTGAAAAGATTAAGAATTATAGGAACAGGAATGAGAATTTGGCCCAGTGCCGCTACTTGTTTATTTTCATATACGTTTCTCACATGCTATTAAATGTAACAAAATAATTATATTTTAAGAAAATGTAACCTTTGTTACATCAAAATATATTGTCTAATAAAAACTTGATATTCAGTAGAGCAGTGATCATGTAAATAAGCATGTATTTCAGATACCCAGAGTGATTAAAAAGCAGAGCCTAAGGCCTAGAACTAAGGAGGATTTATTTCTTTTCTCTGTTTTTCCCTGAATTGTGCAAATATGGGTGAGTTGCTTAACCTTTCTGTGCCTCGTTTCCTCTACCTCTGGGGGCGTGGGATGGCTCTCCAGGTTCACTGTTTCTCTGGGTAGCACTGTGGCAGTGCTCGGGTGGGTTGGATGGGAGCACTGTGCTCAGCACTGCTCTGGAAGCGGTGTGCTGGACCCCGGCTTGCACTGACCTCGACAGCTGCCCTGGACAGTGCTGGAGAGCACAGGCCTCGAGCGCAAAGCAAGTAAAAGAAGCACTGGTTGTCAAGGTTGCACAATTCCTTGAAGCTTTAATTTTCCCTTGTTTGTTTTTAAACGGGTTTTGTATACTGTATTGTAAAATATGGAAGTTAAACTGGGACACTAGAAACTGCACTGAAAGATCACATCCTGAAGGTGTGACGAGCTCCTCTGCCAGCCCGCTCAGGTCAAATTCTGTAGAAGATGAGATGACCTGTGTGACTGATCAATTCTGTCCCCTGTGATTGGTAATGAGTAATGCTGATCTTCTGCTTTCGAGCAGTTTAACCTAGACGATGAACTCTCTGACATCAGGTGAATGTCAAGAGCTCCTCGACCACTTGTGCCAAAGGGTCATGTTGAAAAATTTAGAATGTTTATTTGTTAGAATATAATAATTTGCTCCCCACCCCATTCAGTGGTTTCGCATTTTACAAATTTAGCAGTGTTTTTCAGTACTATTTCTGAGTGTTTCTGCCTTTGTAAAGGGTAGCTGTGATTTCCTTGTGAAGTGGAGTATAATCATGAAGACAGGAAGAAGGCGAGATACGAAATGTTAAATGTTGATATCGGTTGCATACAGTTTTTTTCACGTCAGTGCATCAGAGGAGCTTCTGATTAACACACATGCACACATTTACCAATGGCTAAGACTTGCTTATATTTTGCTTATAGAAGTAGTCATGGCATGATGTAATTGCCTTATGTAAATACAAAAGGCTATTTATTAAGTTTTCCAATAATATTTATTAATCTGTATATGTTTTAAAATAAAATAACTTATTTCTAGCTGAACATTTGTTGATTTTTTCCCTTTGCTTGAAATTCCTGTGTAGTCTCAGGTTCTAGACCCTTGTGGTTCCTTACATTTTCTGCCGCTTACGTCAGCCCGTGTGTCTGTCTTGGGGGTGAATCCGTGATACGTGAAGAAGTGCAGCATCCAGTGACAGTCTCCTGAATCCCAGAAGTGACGATATCGCCGAAAACTAGCTTGACTTCAATGTCTTCAACATATTTCTGAGTTGTGTGACTTGTGTTATTTCATATTTAAGCCCGTAGAAAATGAAGAGAACCACGTGCCTGAAATCCTAGCACTCTGGGAGCCTGAGGCAGGTGGATCACAAGTTTGAGCCCAGCCTGGGCAATGAAACAAGTTAGTGAGACCCTTCCTCAAAAAAGCAAGGGGGGGGG